GCAGCGAGGTGCGTGTCGGAGACTTAGCTGATGGCCAAGGTCTCTCTCTCTCACACACACACACTCACACATACATACACTGGTCGAATCATGAACGTCTCACATACACATGTTCCATCGATAGGACGAGCAAAACGGAATGAATCTTTCGCCGAAACGTGGAAATATACACTGCCACTTTTTGGTTTGCTCGTTCTATCGATCCAGGTGACGTGCAGCGAGGGGCGGATTCTTAGCTGTTGGTCAAGGTTGGAGACTCATAGTCTCTCGGATCCGTTTTCATGTGTCCAGATCGTGGCAACGGGAGCCCAAATCGCGAAAATATATATCCGTCTCTCTCTCTTTTTCTCTCTCTCGCTTAGTTCTGCAGATATTGAGAAGTCAGATGATGAGAGAGAGGAGAAGACAGTGGACTGAGAGAAGGAAGAAGAAGAACCCTCTCCCTCACACTCACACACACACACATACATATGTATGTTAGTGAATGAATCTAACCTCGTTAATGCATTAGATTCATTCACTTCATTTTTATTTATTTGCTTATTTTATTTATTTATTCGTTTACTTTCGTTTTTGTCTTTGATGGTGCTAGGGAACGAGCCGCGAGATTGAGGACTTACTTGTCCTTTATCTTGCTCCCTTGTCGTCGCCACCGCCGTCGGAGTCGTCGCCAGTTGTTACCTCGTCGTCGTTCGACCGTACAGGTAAGCTTTCACCCTTTCTTTTCTTCTTCTTCTCCTCCTCCATCTTCTTATAGAGGTAAGCTTTCACCCTTTCTTTTCTTCTTCTTCTCCTCCTCCATCTTCTTATTCCCTTTTCCTTGCGATCTCTTCCTTCGTCCAGTCTTCCTCCCTCACTCTCTTCCTCACCTACTTCTATTTTCCTCCTTCTTCCTCGTTGGCTCCTCTGTTCTGCCTTTCCGTTGTTGTCGTCGCTGCGACTGTCGCCTTTGCGGTAGCATCTGCAGTCGTCTCCATAGCCGACAGCCCACACAATCTGGCCTACGCTTTCCTTCTTCCTCTCCTACGCCTCCTCCTTCTCTCTCTCCTTCTTCTTCTTCTTCTTCTCCTTCTCGCATTCCACCCGATCTTGCGAGATTCCCGCTTTCGCGATATCCCCCCTTTGCCTTCGATTGCTTTTCTCTATTCTCTCCCTCTCGTTCCTGGTTCGTTGTCCCCCTCCCCCCCGAGTCGGACCTTCGCGACGCCGCACGGAGGTTACTCGCCTTCGGGACACGGTGATCGTAGCAGCCGGTATCCCAACCTCGGCCTGATTCGTTACCTTCCTCCTACGTCGAACTTGCCCCGATTCAAGGGCGGACTCATTTGATAGCCACCAATGGAAAAAATATGATAATAATAATAATAAATAAAAGAAAAATAAAATCTAACAGGAAAAAACGAATCTAACTACTAAAAACCCCGTCGTGCCAATTGTCACAGCGGGGTCTAACCGTAACTTACCTCGTTTCTGAGGTCACGGGTTCGAATCCCATTTGCCTACGGGTGGGTAAAAAGAATAGGCCCGCACCCCTTGTTGCTAGCATAAAAGCTAGCCCGGAGGCAGGTCGGATTCGATCCCAGTATCCCTTGCTTAGCAGTTCGTTCCTTTACCTACTGGGCTAGCTCTTACCACAGTATGATAAAGAGCCGCCTCCCTATAAGTAGATGTAGTAGGTCTGTTCTTCTTAGCCTGCGTGCTTGTGCACGCTTGCCGGTCAGTGCGCCCGTCGTTAGGCTCGTTGGTTTGAGTACGCGCGCGCCCCCAAGGGCACCTGGTGGCCGTTAGGCCTGAAGGCCGGGTCTTAGCTGTGGCCGCGCCCTTTTTGAGGATTGCGGCGGAAACATTCTAGTGGCGGGCAGGCCGTTGCGGCGGAAACACTCAAGCCGTGAGAAAAAGGTCCGCTATATCTTAAGTGCGACGGACAATATTCAAGTAGCGGGTGGGTCGGTACCTCACCATATCGAGGTAGATGTGGCGGTACTTGACTCGGAGGTCGAGTAGGGGAAGACAAAGATCGAAAATTTTAAAACAACTGGTATCGGAAGATAGACAGGCACTAGACCAAGCCTCAGTGCGCGTCGTAGACCTCTCCAAACACATCATTAACTCTCTTGACCTCTCGACCTTTTCTGTCGAGGGGTATTACTATAGTAACTGATTTACCCATCACAGCGCGTGTTATAATAACGCACGCTCATACTATTCGAAATTTCCTACCCGATCTGCCCCAGCCTCATTGGTCGAGGAGTTCATTACGAGCGTCACGCTCAAGAGTGCACGCCCGTTTCCTTCTAGACCGGCTTCCTCATGGTAGCCGATGTCGTCACTGTGTCGAATGCAAAGGCATGGCAAAATACCCTTGTAAGGGTATTTTGTCCGATAGTATCCCAGACCTCGTTAAGCGACGTCCTCGTCGCTCGGAGAGCTATATACAAATAAAAGGTGTTTTTCCGAATGCAAATCGTCAAATCCGAATCCTGGAATGAAATGTGGTTTCAGGATTGACGCTGTCACCTTACTTTTCATTATTACTGCCAGGATTTTAACCCGGGTCTCCCACATAGAATAAATTTAATGGCTTGAAGTGGGGATACTTGATCCGTACTACAGTACATAAAATAGTTAAGTATGACAACGCACCTTTCCTTCCCCCACACCCTTAGTCTTTGACCCAGGTATTCGTTGGTTGTTTTCGGGGCTGGTGTTCGCGTACGAACTCATCCCGTCAAACGCGGGCCTTAACCGAGACCTTGGTTGTTCAACTCTTGATATTACTTGTCCAAAGTTGCCTGTTGTCATGCCCGAAACCTAATACAGGAGGACAACGGTCTCCATCTCGACCCACCACAGTCCTGCTGATCAGGTCGGAGCTGCGGCCTACCGCGTTGCTGCTTATCGGTGGTTGCCCTCGTTGGTTGCACAACGATGGGTTAGTCATCCTATGAATTTCAAACTAATCTCAACCCCTTCTACACCCACCTGAATAGGTTCCGTCACTGGGGTGGCCATCCCTTCTAGCCCCTATTCTAGGTCATAGTCGAAGGGTCCGCTGCCTGGTTATGCTAGGTCAGCGGCCCACGCTAGGAGTTACGTCCCAACGATGCCAATTTTCCACCATAGGCTTGGTAGTTTTATGCCCTCAGGTTAACCCTTGAGGTGGATGAACGATGCTTTAAATAAACCAAATAAATGAGAATTTTTAATAAATTGAGCATTCGTCAGGCTGCCACTTAGGGTTGTGCCCTCCAAGTCTTTGATCATAGCTCGGTGATGCACGCACCTCGGGGTCATTTTGTATACGTATATATATATGAAACCATTATTTTTTTTAATATATAACCATTATTTTTAAGATAAATTTTTATTGACTCTTTGCTTGTCAGAATCCACGAAGAAAACATCACTTTCATAAAGATTGCCAAAGAATTTTTGCAAAAGAATTGATAAGACTCAAAGGAGTCTATCCATGTCGTAGCATGGGTCTCAAACATGAAATGTACAATCAATCCAGCCTTTGAAGTTTCACAAGCACTCATCAAACTTTCACATGAAATACAGATCCATCCGTTCGTCTATCACCTCTTTAGATCTCAACAGAGTCTAGTAGTGATAGACGAAGGGAGATCTTAGGTTATAAGAGACTCAACCAAAGACAAAGGCCCACACACAATGTGACAAGTGCGTCGTGTTTACCAGCTCATCCCCCTGAAAGATATATAAATACAAGTATGTTACAGAGTCAGATCGCCACTCACCTCTACTATCTCTCAAATACCTCTCCTGTCCTTTCCTATACTACTTCGTATACTAAGTCTCATTTTCTGAATGAAGAAAGCAACACAACATGTCTCATATTTTTCCTCTGTCTAACTGAAGAAGAAAACACATATCCCATGCTTTAAATTACCCCTTTCTCCCTCTCATAACTGTTTTACAAGCCAATACAAGTCATGATTTATTTAGAAACACCTACCTATTCCTATCTAGAAATCAATTGGGAGTCCCAGTATCCTGTAGAGTGCTACTCTGCCTCCCTCAGGTATCCTGGGAATGATTTGTCCTGTGCAGACCACCAATCTTTTATGACTATCATATCTGGTCTTTCCTTCCTTGATATAAACTGGCAGAATGGAACACTCATCCCTGAGATGCTCTTCCTAAGTGCAGAAAAAACACCTCTTTCCAGTCATGCTGGGCTTGATCCTCTATATGTCCGGCTGGGCCGAAGTCTCAGCCTGATCCTCAGTTCCTTCTGGTGAGCCCAACTCAGATTCCCTGTGCCTTTTGCCCTGTCTTGGCAGAGGCATAGCCACACTCTCACTTACCTCATTTTCTGGTGCAGGAGGCTCTTCTCTCTTCTCCTCAGTCTGTACTCCCTTCTCTTCACCCCCCTTTCTTTCCACCAGCTCTGTGGCTTCCTTTTCTTTCCCCTGATGGTTCAATCTGAGTCCCTCCATTCCTATCAATATCTCACCCCATCTTTTCTCTCATTTCTGTCCCAACTTCTTTCTTTCTGAGATTTCATTGTCCAGGTCCAGCCCTAGCATACTGACCTCAGAGCCCAGACCATCCATCTTTATTTTCATCCTTGCTATTGTGGCCGCTTCATTCTCCAATTTTTTGTCGTTCATAGTCAGGGCGACCCTCAATTGGCTCACTTCTTTCTGCAATTCCTCCTTCTCTTTCTTCAATTCCTTCACTTCCTTCCTCATTTCTTCCATGTCTCTCATCAATTTTTCCGTCTGGGCATCCCTCTCATCTTCCTTCTTTCTTATCTCGCTCATCTCTTCCCTTTCTCTGTCTCCAATTGACCTCTCTTCCTCAGTTCTTTTGACCTTTGGAGCCGTGCCTCCTTCCTGGATCCTCTTTCCTTCTCCAGCCTTCTTTACACCTCCCTCTTTTTCACGCTTCCTTTCTTGTGTTTTTTTCCTTCCAATCTCAATTGGTCTTTTCTCCTCAGTTTTTTTCTTCCTTGGTACTACACTTGCCCCCATGTTTTTCTTCCTCCCTTCTGTTGCCTCCTCCGCTTTCTGTTCATCTCCCTCTGCCTGGTCAGACCCGTTGCTGCTGCTCTTGGGGACGACCCTCACTTTGTCCTTCGATCTTTTCAGCGACACATCAACTTCCTCTTCATCCTCTGCTCCTTCGCCTTGTGGCTCAACCATTTCTCTTCCAATCCATAACTCCCTCTTCTGCAGCCTTTCCTTTTTTGTCTTATCCTGTCTGGCCTGGGTGTAGGTCATCCATAATTCTGCTGTTATTCTTTTACAGGTCCGACTTCCTTCCACAATTTCTTTTACTTCCTCCTTTTCACTCTCTTCTGATTTTGCGATCAATTGTTTCTTCTTTTCCTCCTTGTTCCACTCGCCTCTCTCAGCGGTCAGCTGCAAGCTCTCGATAAAGTCCTCCAGATTGGTTTCATCAAACCTTAAGTCGTCCTCCATATCGTCCCTTGGGAAGGCCCCCATGTCCTTCCATAATCTCACCTTGCATATTTTCCACCTCGTGCACCCTGCCACCACTTCTTCAACCCTTCTCTTGTACATTCCTGCTCCAATCAAATTCGTAATTTTCTCCCTGTCAACCCATTCTCTCCTGAATGCGTACTCTTCAAGGTCTCGCAGGAATACTCGCAGGCTGTCTCCAGCCCTGTAAATGGGCAGCTCCTCCGGGTTCCTTGAGACTCTCTGGTCCCTCCTTTGCCCTCCCTTTCTCAAGGTAGGTCGTGAGGGCCCTGCCACCGCTCCTCTCTGCGCCATGACCTCTTCTTTTCAAGGGTCACGCCTGTACACAGAGAAAGAGCAAATGACAGGTACAAGGATCAGATCATCATCAAGACAACACCTTTCGTTGAACATAAGCTTGACAATGCTCCCTTTATGTGGTATTCTTTTCCACGCACATATAGACATATACATATATATATGCCTATATATATGTATATATACATACATTTGTGTGCGCATACACATATACATTCCACTATACCTTTCGCATTCATGCACGTATACATATACACACACACACACACACATATATATATATATATATATATATATATATATATATATGTATATACATATTCACACATGTATGAGTATTTACTTAGGCACTTGGGTACACACATGCATAGGCACCGATACGCACATATATGCATAATCACTCCCCAGTCTACTCAGGCTTTCTGCATCATAGTAGGGCTCATCTCTCCTCTGATTCGGAACTTTTTCAGTCTGGATCATGAAACTCAGTCCTTCCTTGGAGTCTCATCCATCTCTTCTAACTCGTAGGCCCCATGAAGTCCCTGCTTCCTGACTTTGAATGGTCCTAGCCAACGCTTGTCCAATTTTCGCGACCATTGCATTTTCAAAGATGAATCGTAGAGTAGTACTGTCTCGACAACTTGTAGAGGTTCGAGTCTCACTCTAGGTAGCTTGTCCCACCTTTCCTTATCCTTTCCCCTGCTGTCTGCAACATTCATGGCCGCTTCTTGTACCCTTTCTTCAGTGGCGCTGATCTGCCTTGCCCTTAGATCTAGCAGTTCTTTCAAAGTCAAGTTGTTCTCCAGGTCCTGTCTGCGCCAAGTTTTCAGGAAACTTTCAATTGGAAATGTGGCGTGACGCCCATACCAGAGTGTCGCAGGCGCATACCCGGTCGCCTTTTTTACTGTGATGTTTTCCACAAAGAACACTGTTCTTAGGAACTTTGGTCAGAGGTTTGGCTTCCCACTGGTTCATTTGGCCAGTAAGTTAATAATTGTACTATGGCCTCTTTCGACCGGTGCATTAGCTTGTGGATGAGCCCGAGTCGTATAGTTACCTATGACCCCCAATTCCTTCAGCAGCTCCTTCACTTCCCCACATGTGAACTCAGACCCCCTGTCCATCGTGAACTCTAATACGAACGGATATCTGAGATAATACTCTTTAATACAATCAGTAAGTGTTGTCCCGGTCTTGTTCCTGATCGCTCTGCCATCAACGAATCCAGAAAGGTTGTCCCTTGCGTCAAATATATAGTTATATCCTCCAAGACCTAGTGACATAGCCAGTAAATCCAGGTGAACAACCGCCCCTACTTCCTTGATATATCTAGGATGCAGAGGTTCCTTGTATCTGGTAGGCGATCGAGTTTGACAGGGCACACACGACTCACAGTATTTTCGTGTCATCTCAAACATTCCTTCCCAGTAGTAGAGTTTCATTGTCTTTTTGTAAGTAACCGCGAAACTCCGATTTCCTCCAACTATCCCGTCATGCAACGCAGCTACTACGTTAATCTGACGATTCCTCCCACATACGACACGTTGTGCGGAAACTCGGGGAGGGGTCGCCTGATCTTCGCTGAAGCCAGAGGCAGCGGCGTCTGTCACCCGCCATGCCCGCATAAGAGGACCTCAACGACAAAACAGGCAGTGGGGTTGATTTGTCTGTCACGTCCCCACTTATGTGTTGGCTCTGGGATTCTTTTCGGCGCGCTCAACAAAATTAAAGCAATAATCATAAAAATGAACAAATATACATGACCACGAGATTTAAAATATGACGCGAACCAGCGAGGAGGTGGCGTTTGCAAGGTTTCAGACCTACACAAACAAAATGGAGATTTGATTCGCACAAAAATGGTTGAACAATCACTCTTGAAATCAAGGACGCACCAGTCGATGAACAACTAAGAAGACAATGTTAAACTCTCCCTCCTAATGACCGAGTTTCATACAGGTGGAAGAGGGAAAAATGATTATATTATTATTATTATTATTATTATTATTATTATTATTATTTTGACAGTCAGCATTGCATGCTTACTTCAAGCTGTGTGATAAGGATCATCTGTTGCCCATTACTTAGATTTGGCTCCCCGCAACAGAGGAAGCGACATTTCGACACTGGGTGTTCTGCCACCGAGAGGAACCTGATTCTTAGGTTGTTGAGCCTGCGGCCCCACCGTGTACACTGCTGGCGGTGGCTGAGGAGCACTTTGACATGGCTGTTCAGCAAATRGTTCRCTAGCTGATTGCATGCCAGATAAGGGCTGTGGTGAAACTCACGAAGCTTGGAGAAGATATATGTTGGCTTTGGAGTGGCTGTAATGATGGGAGCTGCATAGATGTAGACATATTAGACTATGGCTGCAAGTAGAGCGATAGTGGTGGTTGTTGTTGCTGAACCCGCTGTGTCCCTGGAGATAGGTGTGGATGGGTGKCTGCCCATTATTATCCATTAACGTTGGAGGGCATATGCTGYTGCTGATGAACTGGCATTTGAGCACCTTGAAACTGTGCATGCAAAATTGAGGRACTTATCTCATGCTGTGAGGTGSAGGGTACTATGGAATTCACTKATGGATTTGGTCTGTTCGYTCTTGCTGCCTCCCTGGCSTCAACGTGCTGRTAGTTAGATCGAGCTCAATGATGTCCTAATCTGGTCCAAACGTCCATCCCAACGGTCATAMYCTKAGATTCGAAGTTCCCCTTACGTRTGCAAAAACGGATYTTTGAGTGGAGTCATCATTCATCGGAAACGACAATTATTTCGCTGTAATGATGTTGTCTCTCGTGGACCCGAATAAAACACAGGGTCGTCAAAGCTCTGTTTAGGCAGATTTCAATCCAGATACACTGAAACCAACAGTACGTTGTATTCCGACCAAACAACAGTAAGGGATGCCAGCTAAAAACATCAGTACTGCGTTTGTTAAGCGTTCATCAGTCTCCCTTTTGATGGTCTATCCGTTATCTCTCTCCCCCTCCTTCGTTCTCACACTCTTGCTCTCTCTCACCAGTTCTCTCCCGCGCACACACCCCTTCGCCTCTCCCTTCTCTCTCACTGTCTCTCTCTCAGTCTGCTCTCTCTCTCTTCTCGATCCCGCACTCACTCACTGTCTTCCCCTCCCTAACTCACATGTAAATAAAAATAATTAAAAAAAAAATAAAAATAAAAAAAACTTCCTTCCTTCATACACGCCCTTCTCTCACTCACTGCGCACTCTTCCTCTCATTCACTGCACACTCTCCCTCTCACTCACTGCGCACTCTCCCTCTCACTCACTGCGCACTCTCCCTCTCACTCACTGCGCACTC